ACACCCTTTCCTTCCAGAGCTGCTTTTGGTCATGATGTTTTCACAGCAACAGACTGCAAACTAGAACAGAAAATAGGGTATTGCTATGGCAGACCTGACTACAGTTGTTGGGGGATGATTGTGAAAGTGAAAGTGTTTGGAATTTGGGGCTAGTTCAGAGCTTAATGGGAGTTCCGTGGGAGTGTGGTGGACAGAATAAGGCCTGGCTTGTGAGGTTCCAGAGGGAAGCAAAGACTCTCCCAGGCCATTCATGTGATGCTACTTTGTACTCAGAACCTACGGCTCTGGTGAGCGGTGATTGCAGAGCCAGCTATGACTCATAAGAAAGAGGCCACACCACTGATGCAAACTTCTGCTTGCTGGGACAATGCTGCTCAGCAATGCTGGCCATGATTTAGGAGAGGCCAGCATTGCGGAGGTGAACTCGGCTGGGGAAGTGTTTGCTTAGGGTCAGGATGCAGATGTCCAGTGTCGGTCCAGCTGTATCTCATGCTGGCAGCCAAACTTGGTTATGTGTTTTTCACCTGGTAGTGCTCTGGGCTGCATGAAGCTGCAGGGTCAAAGGTGCCATAGAGAGAAACTGAGGCTTGACACCATGTGGTAGCGTTGGAGTCCCTGAAGAGAGACCAGGAGGTCATTGGTAAAAATCATTGCAGTGGCTATCCCAGCACATTGGGGATACATGGTGGATCATACGATATCTGTCAAGGACAGTGGCAGATGCAGGGTGGACCCAGACTGAGCCCATGGGAGAAGCTGTCTGTGTGCTGTGGACTCAAAATTGGAGCTGCTTAAGCCCTTTAGAGACCAGAAGATTGTAAGTTCCAGATGTTAGATATTGAGGTATTTACACTTGTGGACTTGGTATTTTGTTTGTTTCTTTGTTTTAAAAGATTATTCTGCCTGCATGTATGCCTTCAGGCCAGAAGAGGGCACCAGATCTCATTATAGATGGTTGTGAGCCGCCAGGTGGTTGTTGGGAATTGAACTCAGGACCTCTGGAAGAGTAGCAAGTGCTCTTAACTTCTGAGTCATCTCTCCAGCCCTGGACTGGGACTTTGATTTGCTTGTGACTGTTCTTTCCTCTTTTTTTTTTTTTTTTTCCTTTTCTTTTTCTGTTTTTTGAGACAGGGTTTCTCTGTAGCTTTGTAGGCTGTCCTGGAACTCACTCTTTAGAACAGGCTGGCTTCGAACTCACAGAGATCCATCTACCTCTGCCTCCGGAGTGCTGGGATTAAAGGAGTGCTGGGATTAAAGGCGTGCGCCGC